GTTTGGCTGACGTTGTCCATTTGGTAGTTATTATTGATCCACGGATCTCATCCAGCTGTTTCTTGAACGAAACAAGGGTATTAGGTTCAACAACAAATTTTCAGCCTTCTTATTTTCAGGGCAGTTGATTTGCAGAACTTACATTGCGGGGATGTTTTTGCTCTGAGGTACAGGTGCTCCACAATCAATAGTCACTTGCAATTTTCTGAAAGTGGGGTGCACCCAGCATGTATCTGCAGTTGAATAAATAATAGTGTAAAATGGACTGACTGGTCTTCTCCCAAAAGTCTGTGGTATCAATATCAGCCAACACCAACAGAGTTTTGAGGAAAAGCTTGTCTACAGGGAGCCCAGTCACAGCCCTTTATGTTCAATAGAAGAACCCAGTGTTTCTAAATAGACTACAGGTGCATTAATGGGGAAACTGTTGACAATCTATACTAGAGCCTGCCTGGCTTGACCTTAATGACAACAGGAACTGAAGAATGAGGTATTTGCATTACCAGAGCGCTATGGTTCACTGGGCCTGAGCTCACCCTGGTCTGAGAGCACATGCCTTCCCTCAAGGATCGGATGCTGTTACATCATAGACATAACTGCATTTGTACAGCTGGGCAGTAGAGCTACTCTTACAAGGATACAACCACAGTGTCTGCAGCAGAGACTCAAAACCTATAACCTTTCAGGCTTACCTAGTACTGTGTGCCACCCTCTGGTCTGGTAATTTCACATTCTCTATGAAATAGATTTTCACGTTGTCACAAGGTCAAAAAAAGGAGGAAGATGAGCTTGATTATTAAGCTCAGGAGAAAGATGTCTGCTGTATTCCAGAGAGAGAAAAGTAGAGAAGAGTTTTTTTCTTGTGGTTATGTCTACAGCAGAAACCGTTGCTGTCTTTGACTTTGGAGGTGTGCTGTCATGCTGTGTCATGTGTTTTTTGGCCTTCCCATCTCTGTGCAAGCCAAGTGGTATCCACATGAATACTTTTTTGTCTAGTCCCTCCATTCAGTGTTAAGTATATCTGACTCATCCTGGTAAAACTGTTAATTGGGAGCTTGGTCAGCCTCATCTTTTCTAGTCTTTTAATTCATAATGTGCTAAATATAATAATCATAATCCTAATTGATCATGATCCACAGCTTTGAAAAGTCCTGAAATCGCTGGACCGCTGAAGAAAGCCTTTCAAGCTTATTTGACATTCAGAATACAGCTCTCAGTTCTTCATACTTAATTAAGAAGCACTTTCTGCCTTGCATATGAAGTCGTGTTAAGGCTTAACCGTGCTTCCTGACTACTCTAATTGTAAAGTTTAAAAACATTAACCTGAAGACAAAATGACTTAACATCCTTCACCCTGCTACCACAAACGTGAACCAACCACTAATGAAAATCGATAATGTTTTCTCAAATGGCTTGAAGCGGTCATGCGTAGCGAGGTTAGACATTTTTTTCGTTCGGTCTCAAACTGTCATTCTGCTGTTGTCAATTTTTGTGTGAGCCTGGCTATATCATGGTGACTTCTGTAACCACTCAGGACAGAAAGAGCCAGCAGTGAGCCCCTTGTTTTTTTGACTTGAAACAATCTCCTCAGTCCCTGAACAGGGAGTTAGCACCAGCCAAAGGAATAGCATAGCTTTCACTGACATTGCTAGAAGTCTGTAGGCACCTGGAACGTCACTAGAATCCATATATCAGGAAGCTGAAAGGACCCCAATCAACTGTTGTAAACCTTAACCTGCAATTTTGGGTGCTGTTACTTGTGAGAGGTCCCTGTTTTTTTGGAGATATTAAGAAAATTTGTATTCCTAGTAAAAACAAAAAGTATTCTCACTCTTTTATGGACAGGTACTTGTTTGCAGGCTCTGTTGTTTATAAAACTACTGTAAAAGTGTGGCAAATGTCGCTCTGTCTCTGTCCAAGGTGCTGAACTGTAACTGAAGTTTCTCCTCTTGTTCTGTGTGCGCAAGAAGACTTTTGTGCCAGCATTCAATCCAGTGTGTATCCTCCACAGCCTTCACAGCAAGAAACTTTCGAGCAAAAACATGAACATAAAAATACACGTTGTGAATATTAACAGCCAAACAGCAAAATGCTGATAAGATCAGAAAAAATGAACTTCACTGCTCATGGTTCAGCAATATGATTTCTTTGAAATGCATGTGAAATGCTGTGTCAAATGGATTTTGCAAAGCTAGGTTGCAAAAAGACCCGAAAACCAATAGACAGCGAATATAGAAAGAGCAACCAAATAATCAAGTTTCGAGATCATTTTTACACGGCAAACCAAAATCCTGGGTACAGGAATCAGTTTAAAGCCAAGTAAATTCCAGGGATTTGCACAAAGCTTTCCAGAAGGAGACAATTTCAAAGCAAGGTCACAATGCAGTCACTTACATGCAACATGATGGGTAGTGTTGTAATATGCGAGCCTCATATTAGCAGAATAAAACTTACAAATTACATTGTATTTAATAGCTTGTCATGAACGTCTTTACTCACAATTAATTTAAAAGCAATTTTATGCTTTTGTCAGCAATGCAGTTAATAGGCATTAGGAGTTTTCACGCCAGAGATTATTTAATATATTTTCTTGTGCGAGAAGGACAGCTGTATAGATAGCAAATTGTACACGTAGGCCAATTAAATTATTTTAATGCTTATTGAATAAGAAAACTGACTCCCTTCGGCAGTCATTTGAGGAAATCAATATTCAACATGAAGGGCTGTGCGGTTCTCTCCTAAAAAGAATTCACCACCTCAGTGATTTGATGGGAAAGGGAAAGTGACTACTTACATTTAAATAGCTTCTTTCCGCATAGTCATGGGCCCGAGAGGTCTTCATGATAATGTCTCAGCTGAGATAACAGTCACCCACTGATGTACGAGAGAGAACAGCTTGCAGCAGTGTTAAGTGTCTGATGGGGTGACTGAACTGGGAACATGACATTTCACTCAATAGTACAGGGGCATTCAGTCAAGTTAGCATGAAAACTGCTTGATGTATGAAAAGGGCCAGGACCTTCAAAGCATAATCTTGCTTTTAGGTTTCAGTTTTCCAGGAATCTCTGCATTTTTTGTTAACCCCTTTGTGGCCAGTGGGAGGTATACTAACCATCTAAAGCTATGACCATTATGTGAAGAAACTGAATCAGATCTGACTGCCACCTGCCAGCAGTTCTTAACAGCAAAGACATCTTCACAATGTCATGTGACACCTCTCATCACATCGCAGCATGCAAAGAGAGAGACTTGGACACAAAAAAACTTATTTTTCTTAATTAATTTTGCCTTATGGTCTGAATTCCTAATGACTGGAATGTTTCTGCAGGGAGGAAATATACTCACACACCTAGAGACACCCTCCCATCCATTTTAATTGAATTAGTGTGGTTAAATTAAAAACGTATAAAAAGGCAGCAGCCTACAGTGCTCAGGGCTCAGGACTCAGAACTGAAAAGCTGTGGGTTCGAATCCCATGTGGGACACTCCTTAGTGAGCTGTTTTACTCAGATTGCTCCAGGAAATTCGTACATATATATGTCTCTCTTAGTCATCATTGCAGAATATAGGAATTTGTTCTAAATTAACTTCCCTGGTATAAGGAAATAAAAAAGGGCTGTGTTCAAACACGATGAAAATGAACAACATGAAATAAATCATAGATGTCTGGAACTCCTTTATTACATCATGTCTGAAATGATGTTTCATGTTTATTTTAAAGATCAAACTTAACTAAACGCTATGAAGTTACTTGATCTGTTTTTTATGGTATAAGGTGTACCTAGATCAATAATGTCATAGTACTTCAAGTGGCAATACAGTATCTAATCTATTGGAGATGTGATATTTTTAATTTAAAAAATTGCAATTGTTGAAAGAATCAAGAAAAATAATCACGCACAATAAATAATAAATCAGCTAATAACACTTAAAGTTGGGATCTGATTTACTGTAAATATATTTACACAGATGCAATTAACTAACTGGTCAGTTGTATTAACCTCTAGTTTTTTTCTTTTAACTGACTTGTTTGCACTTACTCAAAACTCACAAAAAATGCTGGAAGGTAAATGGTAAAGTCATTTCTGGCCATCTTGCTAATTTGGTAGGTTAGTAAGCTATGTCAATTCAAACTTTTCTCCAGTCTTTCCTTAAGAGAGTCCATAGTTTGTGTCTCACCTGCCGGGCTGGAAAAACTGTTACAGACACCCACCAGCCTTTGTGTAAAGAAACCTTTCCTAGCCTTTCTCTTAGATTAGATTCCTGTTTGGTTTCCCATCTGTCTCTGTTTTCACGACGGAGTATGAAATGGTTCCTGAGTATGAAATGGTCTCATTCGAAGGACAGAAAGTATACCCACTTAGGATTTTACATTATTGATCCGAATGAGATTTGTTGGCAAATCTCTATCTTATATATGATTTTCACTGTGGATTGACTTTAAGGTTTTCATATCTTACTGAAATGCCAGAGGTCAGCCAAACAGTCCTCCACGTTGGAAGAGAAGCAGACTGTCTGCATGTCCACTTCAAAAATGATCGGTTTGCATTGCAGCTTTTGAAACTGAGAACAGAAGACCGCTTTACACAAAGGATTGTGGGAGTATGCAACAAGCTACCCAGCCATGCGGTTGAAGCTGATACCTAGGCTTCTTTTAAGAAAAAACTAGATGAGATCTGCGGATTAATTAGCTACTCATGACCGAACGTGCTGAATGGTTTTCTCTCATGTTTTGTAACCTTTCTAATGTTGTTATGCAACGGACATTTTTTTCCAGCTGTAGAACTAGTAATCTAATTATTTTGCTTGTCATATGTCTTTTTAAGATAGAGGTTCATTTCCCAAATGTCTGATTATCAGTAGTAGAAGTGGAATTCCTAAACATATTTAACCAGTCTGCGTGCGTGGAATATTTATATCCCACAACATCTGACTGGGCTGTAATTATTATTCCTCTGAAAGCTTTCATCGGCTCAATCTGCTCTTTTCTCTCTCAACAGGCTTGGCTTACAGAAATCCATGAATATGCACAACAAGATGTAGTTCTCATGCTCTTGGGAAACAAGGTGAGAAATGTTTGATTCTGACTTATGGGGGGACTCCTGAATTTCAAGAGATCAAACAGATTTTAAACAGAAGTTACGGGAGGCAGTCAAATTCAGTTGCTCCCCAACACCACCAATTACAGCTTTTATCAGCAAATCAAGGCAATTCTGAACTTCTTTTGGTCCAATCAGGAAGACTATTTTGTGGTAACTGACGTTTTCTTCTAAATGTCTTTGAACACTGGCAGACAGAATGCAAACTGATTTAGCTGTCAGTGTCTTTGGTAAATTCCAGAGCTCACATCCTGAGTTACTGTGAAACGGCTAACAGCAAAAAGGAACCAAAAACAAAGATTGGGAGTTCATGTGATGATGAAGAGGAGAACGAATTTCAAGAGGGGGCACTCATTCTGGCTTGTGCTCTGGCATAGAAATATGGTTTTCTCTTTGAGCACTGAATGGGTTCTGTTGAAAAGTTCACCCCCGAGCACACACAAGAAATAGTCACATGGTGATATTATTGAGTGGTTTGGGATTTCGTTTGGTAGCATTAGTTGCTATCTGCAACGTTCACATTCCTGCATCTAACCCCCTTCTCCCCAGTCAATCACTTTCATTATGCAGCCTCAGTTCCCTGATCTGCGTTCAGATCCCATGTTGATTTTTTCAAATATTCTCATCATCCCTTTGGGAATTCAGATCGATGCTGGAGTGCCTTGAAAACTGGAACGGGCACACTTACGGTATGTTGCTGCGTTGCTGAATGAATTGCTGTATTGGCAAAAGAAATACACAGTGCTGGAGCACTGAAATGTGGAAACTGTGATGCCGGCAATGGCACTGGATGCTTTTTTGGAGGTGGTAGCGATCAGAAATCTCAGCGGGTGTCACATAGCTCATGTGAGTGTTTCTGATCTTTCAAAGGCGGACGCTACCCATGAGAGGGTGGTGAAGAGGGAAGAGGGAGAAAAGCTGGCAAAGGTAGGTTTGCCCTAAAAACTGCCCATCTTGGCAGCCAGGGGCTTTTCTGAGGTCCTGTTCTCTTTATTATTAATCATGTCCTTCTAGCTGTTTTCATTGTGAATAAATTAATTCGCTTTTAATAGGCCACACATGCAGCTAATTTAAAATCATAAAAAGGGAAAACGTAACTGCACAATGGCTAATTTTAAAGACTTGCTTAAGACTCCGGATGAAATCCCTCAGAAAATAGTATAGGTCTGATTGTGAGAAACATGCTGATTTTTATGCCAAAAAGAGACCCTGCTCCCAAGCATTAAATACTAGTAGATCTCCATCCCTGTTCAGTGTCGTGTCAAACTTACACAAAAATCATTTGATGTGTAGGGCTATGAGCATCCAAACCTCAATAATCTGCAGCATGTCATGAATCTGCAAAAAAGCCACATCACTGTTGTAACCACACCATAAAAACACTAAGTATTCTCTCTTGTACTGTATGAGATTATTTCCCAAGCCTCCTGAGACCTCCTGAGATTGTAAGAAAAAGAGAGCTAATGTTTTGAAAGTAACATATATTAATATGAATATAAATATAAAGACATTAATAATATTATGTCCTGCAGCTTGAATGAAATCTACAGAAATGCCCTAAGACAAAGGCTTACCACCGCTAGCCTCATGCAAATAGATATCTGGATCTGCAGATAAACTGCGTTATTGAATATTGATCCAAGCTGGGCAACATGTCATTGAGAAACAAGTTCTGCACTTTTTGCATGACGTTTGCCACTAATACATCTATACCCATCCACTGCCCAAATTCTCCTTGGAATTTACCTAGCACATTAGTAAGGAAGAGTAAGTACATAGGGGATATTTGTGAAAACTACCTGTACTACACATTCTTTAAAATACATTTGCCATGATCCACAATGCAGCACAAGCCACAAACTGTATGTCCTTAGTTCAATAAGGCAGTTGTTTTAGGAAAACTATTAGCGTGAAGCAAGCAGTGTTTTGTAGAAGTGTTTGATGGTTAAGCTTGTTGTGACGTTAATAAAATCCAGACGTTTTGTTTTTTAATGTGAACTGTGGTTCAGTTTTATGATGAAGAAGAGTAGTCCCAGAATTGATCCGGGCACTTTGTGATAAAAGCGACACCCAAATAATGGTTTAATGCCAGTTTAAAATTCCCAAACTGTCCAAGTTTTGAGGCACCTTTTTATGATTTCAGGATCATCTACAGCCCCCTCACCCCCTGAATGCAATATACTGCAACATTACATTGCTTTACTGCTAAAAAGACTCTGTTCCTTTATCCTGGCATGCAGAATCTCTGTAGTCTTTAAAAAAGAAATTTGCAATGGTTGCTTTATTCGAAATGCTCAATGTTTGGTGCTTTGTGCAGATGGTTGGGTTGGAAGAGCTCTTTGTGAACACCCGGGAATGTATTTTAGACACAAAAGAGCCAAGATGAGCCAAGAGGCTCATATCTGCAAAGCTTGATTTATTTCTCTCTGCACTTGCGGAGATATTCAGGATTATTCATTCTGGTAATTGTTGGCTTTTCCCCAACAGGAGTTTGGGGTCCCGTTTATGGAAACGAGTGCCAAAACTGGTCTTAATGTTGACTTGGCATTCTTAGCCGTGGCAAAGTAAGTCGCAGGAGTGGGTGAGTTTTAAAAATGCATGAGCTGTAGCTGTCTGTTTAACGATCACCTTCACACCTTAACAAACAGATGCTAGAATCTCTACTTGCAAATCACTGTGTATCTCTAATGTCTAATGTCATTGCTACTCCTGTATATGACTGCCTTCAGAGTAACTATTAGCAAAATTGAGCTGTCACTGTATCCCTTCCAATGTCCTTATGTCTTGCCAGAAAAGGCATTTGTTTAGTTTGATTGCTGAAGTGCTGCAATTTTATTAAAACTGTTAAAAATGAGCTCACGCCACCTAGTTCTCATTTTGCGCAATCCATGCTCTGACAGTGCTAATCTAAACATCGGGCTCTTACAAATGAGCAGTGGTAGCCTCAAGATATAAATAAATCCCCTTGGTCCTCTGCTCGTCGTGATTCACCAACACTAGGCTTTGAGTGGCCATCCTGAGTGATGCTACAAAGACTAGAGAAGTATGCGTTTCTGCACCGCATTGCGTAAAGTGGCATCGTGATCCCGACCCTCACTTCCGTGACGATGCCCTTGTCTTGTCCCCCACACAGAGAACTGAAGCACAGATCGATGAGGAATCCGAATGAGCCCACGTTCAAACTGCATGACTACGTCAACAAGGAGATGAAGAGCTCTGGATGTTGCAAGTCATAATCGTTCCATGATTTGGGTTTTTCACACGTGTGTTTGTGCGGAAGACTGAAAAGGTGTCAAAGTGTGCCTGGGCTGAAGTCTTTTTTTTTTTCTTTTCACAAAATGTTTCAGGCTCTCCTTGCTGGATGCCTGTGCATGTCTGTTTAACATTGGCTACGGTTCTGACATCTATAGATTTAACTCCTTTATAACTAATTTTCTTCATACATATAACCTGCCTGCAACTGACAACAAAATTCAGTCTCTTTAATAACGTATGTTGCATTAAAACTATCTAAATATGTAGTTTTGCTTTTTTTCCGGCTTAATTCAAATACGGTAAATATTCACTCACTCCTTGTTAATGAATTCTCACAGTCAGCATTAAATTAATGCTCATTGGAATTAATGATAATTATACATCTGGAATATTTTAGGTGGATATTACGGTATTTGTGCTGTGGATGTCAAATGACAGCACCATTAATTACCATTAATTACCTTACAGCAAATGGTAAATTTAATGTTTGTACATATGCATTATGACAGCTATGGTCTGTGAGATAATTATCAGGAATCATTTTATTCACCACTTAAAAAGAGAAATTAGGGCTGCAACAGCTACACCTACTTGGGTGCAGTGGTAGTCCAGTATGAGATATAAGGAGCCTTTGTTTTTGTATTAAGTGTATGTGTAAAGCAGTGCAATGTTAAAGTGATGGTCTGTTCATTGTCTTTTCCCTTTGTTTGATGTGGAATAATTTAGCACAAAATAGTGATTTAAACAAATAGGAGGTCACTGTTAGTGAAGAAGAACTTTGTGCCCTTACCTATATCTATCTGTAGTGAGAACTGGGTGAGTCAATAGGGGATTCATTGGTTTAAGTTAGTTTGATCTGCATCAATGGAATGTTGATGTCAAAGAGTTTTGCTTCCACGGTTTTGATGTTGACTTTAAGGAGATTGCATACCTTCAGTGATGTGGACCTTAGGGAGAGTCATTCCAGGACTTGCACATCTAAATGCTGAGAGCAATTTCTCTGACCTAGTTCGTAGAAGTGTTTTGTCTTTTATCAGTGTTCAATATCCCACTTGATCCTAGCCCACCTCTGCAACTTGGAATGTATCTCTAAGCCAATAAGTATAAATAGATCATCATGGAACTCTCATCTCACGAGCGGGTAAAGGTTGTGTTTCTGGCGGCGCAGGCAAAGCGATCTCTTACCACACGAGAGTGACACTGTGGTGCAGCTGTCGGACAGGAAGTGTGGCTAGGAAATTGAGATGGACAGCTGACATCTGGAAATTTGCGATGCATATGGTGCCAGTGGAGAGAGGGTCGTCGCTGGTCGGTCATACAATCAGCACTCTGCGAGCACAAGGAGGATTATTTTAAATGTAAATTAATAAAACCTTCTGACTGAAAAGAACAGAACTGAAACCTGTATGGCTTATGCATTTCCTGAGTTCTGGCGTTGGTCAAATGCCTAGTCCTTTCTTCGAAGCAAATACCCATTCAGGGTCAGAATTCAGAAGTGGTATACAGTGCTGTTCCTACAGTTTGCACTCAGAATAGAATGTGAATTTATGCTGTTACTTTAAAGTATGGATACATTTTCTTTCTTTTAGTCTCATTTTAATGTACAGTATATGCTGTGGCAGAATCTGACCAGCGATCTGCACTGTCAGTCATATGCTACATTACTCATGATAGACGTCCAAGTAGGGAGCTAAGTCAGCATGCGTAGGCTGCAAAGGAACAGGTAAAGGTTTATTCCACGGTGGAAGGAGAGAAAAAGAAACACAACGTTTTGGCTGTTTCACACCTGAAGAAGGTGTTTACTCATTACTCATCAATATTCACATTACTCAATATATAAAGTAGTCCCATCTTTTCAAAGTCGGTTATCTCTAAAATATGCACCTTTGCAGCATTGTTAGATTTTAAAAGCAATGACGTTGCTTCGCGTTAGGGGTATTTCTAAGCTGATGCTGTTTTGTTCTTTTGCTTCACACATTTGTTTTTGTATTATGTGCATTTAATCAATTGTGGAGAATTATTTTCAAGGTTAAAGCTATAAATCATTTGGGAACAGCGCTTTCTTAGGTTCGTTTATAGTCAGAAAGTAAAGATTTTTTAATTGATCAGAAATAACGACTGTATCTGCACCATATATTAAATGAAAAGTAAGCCATAGCCTGATTAGAGCTCAGATTCTTAAATATGACTTTTTTGTGTTCGTTTAAGACCCTCTGCCCATAAATTAAACAAAAGCTTGCATGACTGCCCAGGTGCAGGAGAGCTGCCAAAAACCTTTTGCTTGCAAAGCCAAAAAGTGAGGAGAGGTGAACTTGGATGCACAGCCAAAACATATTGATCTGAGCAACATTTTCTCATTTCTTTCATCACCTGTCGGGTGTCAAATAGATTGGTAAGTGTTCCTATTTGACACTTATTAATGCTGTTCTGCAGTTCTTAATGTGAACCTGAATGTGTCTTTTATCTGTGTTGTTTTTTTTCCAAATTCGTACAGTGAAAGTTTTAAACGTGAGCTCTCTGTGTGCAGTCACCTTGCTTGATTTCTGTAAGGGTCTAGTCCATAGGCTCTGCTGTATAGTGACCCTCAGAAAACGGAACTTTCTGAAATTTTACTGTTGTAACCTCAACTGTTTTGCGCCTTTATTGTGATTTTTTTCTGTTTTACTCTATTTTACATTTCTCTTCTATTTGTACTGTGTTTTTGCCATGCTTTACTCTGCTAGACTACCATATGCAGTGCAGCAACTATTATGACACAATGTTCTTTAAAATAAATCATTTAAAAATCCTGCTGTCATACACACTGCAGGAAATCTCTGTGAAAATACAGTGAAATGCAGGAAGATCTAGCAAAATAAAATGAAAGGTAAATTGTCAAATATCAGGGAATAACTGAAGTCAGGTTGTTGATCTGGTATCCCTGGTATCCCTGGTATCCAATAATGGTAAACTAGCTTAAGAGTCTGTAATTCTTGGTGTTTCTATGGCATTATGGTGAAGACATTCTTGATTTCTGATACTAATTGCCAAATTTGCAGCCTTATCCTAATCGCAGAAAATAAAAATGGAAAAACATTCTTATTAAAAAAAACATAAGCTTATAGATTGAAGTCAATGTTGATACATGTTTATTTTATGAATGTATAAAAACAAATATGTATTTATCACGTTACAGATATAAAAAGTAGCAATCGCTTTAGACTATGTTGTTATATACAGTATGAACAAACTGACCTGGGCTGAATTAATGCTCCAGAAATAAGCTACACCCTTAAAAGAAGTGTACTATGGTTCTTTTGTCCTTTGTAAATTGTAATTGTGTTGTACAGGTACTTAAAAAAAAGATTTGATATTTCACAATATTCCTGGAATTCTTGTGTTCATGCAGGTTTGAATCAATAGAGAAAAACTGTTTTGCTGCTTTATTGAAATACTGTATATGTATTGTTGTTTAGTGTTTACTGATAATTTATCTTTTTTTTTAAATCCTACTCAGAATCTTTATAGTAATTTAAGATACTTTTTTAAATTTGTCGGAAAGATTAAAAATGGAGTAAGACTACATTGGGATCGCAGTGTTGTGACTTCTGTCAAATTACTTAAGATTTTAGGATTCTAGATGAAGAGGTCTATCTGTTTAGCTTATTTATTATTAATAATAATCCTATGTACAGTATTTACATGTTGTATTTAATACTTGGTGTCAAACAAGTCTGTGTACTGGTACTTGAAAGATGTACCATTTTCTGATTTTTTAAATGTATTTAAACTTAATAAAATACATTAACTTGATGAACGTGATTATTATGGTTATGCATTTTTTTTATTAAAACCAATATTGTCTACCCATTAGAGATAAGTAACATGTATGTCCTTGCAAGTCAGATTAAAATGCAGGCTGAGTTGGAGTCTCAGTGGGAGTCAGGATACATCATTTTTTTTTTGTTTCATCCCATTAAAAGGGCTATTGAAGTCACAGAGGTTAGGCTTCCTCTCCAGGGTACTGTATCTTGGTAGCGAAGTCTGGCTGACTGAAAATATTGGATGAAATTGAGAAAATGACAGCTCCTTTTTAACGTCAAGTTTCCAGTTTTGTTCTTTCATATTTCCCAATTTGGAAGAGCCATTTGTTTCCACACCTGAACAGGGTATTTACTCATTACTCATAATCTATGCATCACACAGTAAACTGCTTGACCAGCATTACAAATAAGCAAAAAAAAATCTTTACGTTTAATTGGCTCTAAAGTTAACAGTTTTCGCTTACTATCTCCAAGGAATAACATACTGTACCACCTCAATTCTCATTTGTTTATTATGGAAGAACAAAAGAGCAATATCGTGATGATGATACACACTTGTTCTGCATTTTGTGCTTTTGAAGTAGTTAATAGGCTGGAGTTGTTGTTTTCTGTGTTACGTACAGGAAGATGGGTTTGAATGATAGGATACTTTGCTGATGCAAGTGCATTGAAGGGCAAAACAAAAACTTAGAGTACAGGGGTGAGTGGCTCAGTTGAAGTGCCTCAGGCGCTGTTTTAAATCCCTGGGAGACACTGTTCGTGCTTGGACCAGAGGGCCCAGGTGGAAAGTATGGGAAAGCGCATTTAACACCCAGAAGAGGAGAGGTTCCCTAATGTAAAGGGTTAGAGGTGTGGGGAACAAGATGCTAACCTGGCTTCTTTTCAGAATCAATCAGTGACCTACTGTCAGACCTGGCTAGATGGGTCCAATGGCCTCCTCGTGTCTGTAACCGTAGGTATGGAAATAGAGAATCCCTGAGAAACGAATCACCAAAAGCCAACCCTTCCACTGCATGCAGACTGCTGTTCTCTTCCCAAAAGAATCTTTCCATCCAAGGTCTAGAATTAGATGACTTCTTTAATTGTTGTGCCCAATGCAATTCAAATCCTTTTTAGCAGACTCATCCTATGACGCTTATCCTTGATCCATATACTATATAAAGTGACTGTAAGTATTCAGTTATTTATACATGTTTAAATTCAAAGAATAAAACAAAATACATTAAGTAACCTAAAGTGCTAAGGGGATATTTAGCACTCACTATATAATGGCTGTAGACATATGCATATTGTGCACAGCTAATTGCCAATACTCTGTATTGTAATGCTAATATTAGATGTCCCAGCTACTGCCTCTTTTCTCTTGTGACTTACTTGAGTCGATTGTTATTGAGCACAGTCTGAGAGCTTTGTGCCCACTGCCTGCCCATGGCTAAGGTCAGCATGAAATCCAAAGAGGTCATAAATACCAGTGGAGGCTTCGAAGTCAGGTATTCTAAAAAACGCCTGGAAGGCCAAACATCAGTCACTCAAGAGAGGTAAGTAAGCACTTTCTGACAGCTGTTCAGGCTGCGGAACACCTAGCGCAAGCTGTAGATCAAAGTTCTGCTGGCCCTGACTCTGCACGGGCAGTTTCCTCCAATGTCTCAGGTGTTAATCAGCCAGCGCCCAGCAGACCGATGGACAGGCTCTAGCAAACTTGAAACAGAGCTCTGTCTGAATGGGCTGCAGTCTCAGGCACGACAGGTTCCTCAGATACTGCAGCATGCAAGCAGTGTGCACAGTTGATCCGTCCCACTGCTTCAGTCCTGGCTGTGAATAATTTTCTTATATAGAGCCAGCCTCTGGACCAGCCAACTGATTTCCTGAAGCAGGTAATATCTGATCCAGATATTCAGGGATGGCTGCTTTCTTCTCACTTTTCTGTAGAAAAATGTGAGAAAAATTTGATATAATCTTTTTTATATAATCTGGATCCGAGATGCTTCCTGACCTTGTGAATGTAGAAAATAAAGTCTTCTGATGTTGTTATGCAGGGTCAATGAGACTGAGAATCCAAGGGTCTCTGAACCATGTCTTATGTCACAAGTAATTATGATTCCCCTTTGATTGGGTATTGAAACTTTAATTGAACATTTCCGATTGGTTTTCTGTACCATTGAATTCAAAATCCTTTATTCAGCCCCAGGGATTCAGATCCTAAATAGTCAAAGGTTAGAAAATACTGTCAGCCTTGCACCAGAAACAGTGTTTCAGAATTCCTATATTTTAAGTTTGGATCAAGCAGTAAGAATTATATTGTTCAGGTTTGATAGTCAATCTCACCTGTGATTCCGGTACAGGTACATCACTGGTTCCCCAACACTTTTCACTGTATAAACTGCGTATACAGTAAATGCCATTTTATATTCATAGCCAACATTTTACCACCTGCACTCTTTGCACTTGACAACAGCAACTTTCATGTCTTATAGTATATTAATAATAGTGTCTCTAATAGTAATAATACTGAGCGAAGTGATGCTCCAATGATTGCAAAACCAGTCATCACATCCTCATCACTGTTCTGTTTTCTATGCATAGACCAGTTCACATTCTATTTACATACATTGCTTTTGATTTTTAAATCTTTATTCTGAAGGACTAAACTTCTATGTGGAACCTTATCAAACGCCCACGGGAGTAAATCATGTCGTGGCACCTAGGGGTATAAAGGAACTAAAGGGATACTCCGCCCAGAAACCAGCTGCGGTATGAAACATTTTGATTAATTTAATTGTTTATGTAGTTTTTAAAAAATGTCTTTAAAATCATTTTTGACACTCCGTTAAAAGGAAAAACATCAACATTTCATCCTCTCAGACTTCACATCAGACATGAAATACAGGCTCCCCCAACTCTACTGCAAATTGTGATACTTTATTTTTAAATGTCAATCGAATAGATACATAAGTAATGTCAAGTCGCAAAAAAAGGCTAGAATAGCGCATTACAAAAGCTTCTCAGTAGCCTTAATGCTTGAAAAGAGAGCAAACAGTGGAAACCGCTTCGTTTCGGAACAGTAACTTGGCTTTAGGCTGAATAAGAGATGTACATGGCCGGTATTCTGCGTGGCCGGCCTGGTGGCTCCGCGGGCTGAACCATCGGAC